TTTGAAAGGGAAGTTTATTTCCTTTTGTAGTCCATTATTGTATTAATTTGTGTAATAAATATAAATATTAATTAAAATCTTTATTATTTAGTTATAATGTCATGAGTTGTTGATTGTATTGTCTTCGTATGAATCTTTAACATCTATTTTATTTGTATTGATTTTTAATTTACTTAGTTTTACAGAAAACTTTTTCCATAAGAATTCATTTTTCATTTAATACGTCAGTTGATAAAAATAATAAGTGATAGAAAAATAAATTACTTAATACAGTATATCGTTTATTTATTTATATTTTAACAAATTGAAAATAAAATTACAATTTCATAAAATTAATTAATAATACTTGAAAATAACAAACAAACTATTCGTTAATTAAAAAGGGATAAACATTAAAAAATATAGTAAATAGTAAAATACTGGTGCGTTCTCATAGGGAACAGTAGGTGTTTGCCTTACATCGTTAATATCGAGAAAGACTTTTGTCTATAACCCAGAAGTATGGCCGGATTATTAATGAGCTTTTTCTTAATCATATCTATTTGTTTGCTTCTAATGTTTGTAAATATATGTAAGACAACAAACGCTATGACACTTATATTGGTGCAAATGAAACACATTATTATAAGAGATGAGGAATTTTCGCATAAGTCTCGCAGGAATAGGGGTAGTATTGCCGNTTCAAAATACTTACTCCAATAGCGTTGGTCACAGAAATGTGATGCTCAAGGAATGTGTACTATAATGAGTAAATTTATGAATTAGTCTTGGTAATTTTTAAATATATTCCAATACACTTACAGCTGTGGCATAAGTTGATGAAAACCCGAGTCCTACCAATGCATTACCCAACCATAACATGTCAATATCGGTTTGATAAAATATAATCAACACAATTGCTCCGATATTAATTACAACAAAATTAAAATAAATCATTTGCTGTGGTTTTAGTTTAGTGGACAGATAGATACTGATAAGACCTCCAAATGCATAGGTAGCACCTGTCGCTGTTTCAACCAGAGCTGACTGCATACCTATAAAAGTATACATAAGAATTAATAAATCTTTTTATTAATAATTAATTGTTTTCAGATGTATACCAAAAATAGGAAGGGGTGTGGATGTAATAAATTGGGCCAAGAATTGCAAATAAGTCATTTCGAGACCATAATAAGCCAATAGTAGGACAGAGCCAACACTTATCAGAATCATTGTATAGGAATTGGGAATATTTTCCTTCCAGATCTGAAATTTCTCGAAATTAGTCAACTCTTGAGGCATTTCTTCAGCGAAGGCCGGGGGTGCGTGTGGTAGACGTGGCGGCACATACTTCTTGTAGATATACAGCGCCAGTAATGCCAACCCACCCGACGCTACAATTCCGGCAATAATCAGGTAAGGTATGTATAGTCGGGATTCATGTTTAGGCGCAACTGTTGTGGTGATCTGTTTACATGAATGGCTAATATTAGACATTTGTTTTGATAAGAATTTATGACAAATACAAACCAATGAATCTAATGTTGTGGTGGACTCGGAGTCATCCGAAGAACTACCACTACATCCGGGCTCTTCAGACGAGAGAAAGACTGCTGTGATTGTCGGTGCGATTGTT